TTTATTCTTATTGTGGCTAGAATTTCACCAAGATGGTTAGAGAGAGAATATAATTTAGGCATCAAGGCTTTGTACGAAGTCCAATTACAAAAACATATATTAGAGAGAGGGACATGGAGAGTTTATAAATGACACTAAATTTTACCATTGAAAATCTCAAAAGAAAAAAAAAATCGAACGGGGCTTGGCCCAGTTGAATGATTCCGCTTGTGTTTAGTGTCGATTTACAAATTGTGGCTTTTATTGGGGAACATGGCCTTGGGCTCATTGTATCATATAGAGCACATACCAAGTTGAGTTAGAAAGAAAAAATCAATGAAAAGGGAGTCATTCTCAAGAGAAAGTTGCGTCTGTTCATTTAGTTAGATTAGGGATAACGGAAGGTCAGAGGCGATCGTAGTTCAGCTTGCGACTTTGAGGTCGGAAGCGGAACTGTAGTCAGCATTGCGACTGTGGATGGAGGGTGTCACAACCTAACTCGATATGACATGATATCACACAACTCATACCAAAAGACACCTCAACGTTTAATGTTTAAGAGTTTAGCTAATGTTTTGAAAACCAGAACGGTCTGGCCGGTTCTACTGGTTCAACAGTGAACTGGTCGGTTTACCGATCCGGTCGAGTGACTTCGCATCGAACTGGACCAAACCAAATTGAACCGGCGGTTCAACCGGTGAACTAGTTCGGTTTGGAAAGAACCGTCCGGTTATATAAAAAATATTTTTGTTTTAATTAAATGTTAAATATATATTTTAGTTTATTCAATTCTTTTAAATTTTTTGAAATATTTTTATTAAATGTAATAATTAATTACACCATAATATATGCATATTAGCTCAAATATAATATATAACATGTTTAGGAAAAAGTGTGTACTTAACACCATTTAAAGGGTAAAAGGAAACTAAAATAGAACCAGAAAACAAAAATACCTCGATCAATCTTCTCTATCTTATCCCTCTCCTTTCTTCCTTTCTACGACTCCTTTCCAACAAGCAAGTGAGAATGGGGGAGGGATGGTGGTGGTGTTAAGTGATATTTAATTATATGTAAAAATATTGCTTAGTACCTAGCACCGCGGGACCTATATGACCTAACGCCGCAACGATGCATGTGACATTTGTCATAGCCCAAATTCTTAGCTAGTAAGGTATCATCCTCTTTGGACTAATGGCCTCACAGGTTTCTCTTGGATGAGCACGCTTAAGTACATAGTTTCTTAATGAAATTTCAACTATTACAATAAAAGACACATAGATGTTTAAGATTTTACTTCTTAATTGAATGATATTGTGAAAACCCTTAAGTAAAAAGAAGTTAAACCCAAGTTTGTGAAAACTAGACCGAACAACGAATCGAAAGAAGGAGAGGTTCACGGTTTGGCCGGTTCAATAGGGGTCGAGCCGAATGACATAATAAATAATAAAATTATTAAAAGTTAATAAAATTAATATAATAATATGAAAATCTAATCTTAAGCTTAAACACAAATCCATCATATCATACATATCGGATATCCAAACTAAGAATGAGTTGGAGGTTTAAAATCACACTTTATAAACAATATAATTAACGATTTGACCAGTTTAAAATTACTTTACATGTATATTTTAAAATTAAATATAAATTATTTCTAAATTATTTTATATGTTTAGAAATAATTTATACCTATGAAATGTATACAAAATTGATATTATAAAATTGTATTTATATTCATATTATATTATTTATTATTAAAATATAGATAAAAATTAAAAAATGATAATTAAATAAAATGATAAAATAATAGATAAAAATTCAATATTATTTGCATCATTAAATTTTAATTAAAAAATATAAAAATATGTGGTATATGTATAGTGAACTTGAGAACTTCACTTTAATTTTTAGTCCCACATCATCTAGACAAAATATGTTAGCATTATTTTTGTATATATAAGCTTTTTGTCTTAAGAAGCCATATGGTATGTGATAAAACATAGTTGATAAAGCATTTTTTATGCTTGTTTAGTCAAAATATATAAATTTTAAATTAATTTATTAAGTAAAATATTTAATAATAAATTTATTAAATTATTTCATCTAATTAAATACTAGCCAGATTGGTTTTTGAAAGTGACAGTGGTTCGTTGGTTAATCAATTGAACAATAGGTTCATGTATAATGTGGTTTTTATATAATTTTGGACCGGCCGGTAAATTGGTTGGTCCGATCCGATTTTTAAAACATTGACTTTTCTCAACAAATAAGTAAGTTATTCAATAAATCATAAAAAATTGACTTTGTTATCTCATAGATAACTAAACAATTAGTTTCTTAACATGTTAAATTGATTATATGACTTACCTTTTCATTTTTCCCAATATATTGAGTAAAATTTACTTAATTACAATATTATAATCTATTTTCCTAAGAAAATTCGATCTCAAAGTTTCTACCCATCATTTTAAAAATATTTGGATCCCCTTTATTAAGCTAACATTAAGGAATGCTCAATTTATAACTTGAAGTGCACTATCTTATGTCTAGTATTTCTTTTATCAACCCTAAACAACTTAAAATTGTTTAAATATCCTTTATCAATTGAGGCTATGGTGTTATATTTTCTCTTGGCTGTCTCTAACATGAGGGGCCTTATACTGACTCATATAATTACAATATAATATTAACCTGATATTCATCATTTAATCATGAATTTTATGAAGGATAAATGTTGCACCCACGGCTTGAGAGCAAGGCTTTATTTGGGACGGTCTTCTTATTGCTTTTTAACATAACTTTTTAGTACAAAAGTTTTAATTTTTGTGCTAAAAAATTGTATCAAGAAATAATAAGAAAGCCGTCCCAAACGAAGTCCAAATTGTAAGTTAATTAGGCAGTCCTTCTGATTGATTTGATTTATCTAGAAGTGTAGACATTCATCTATCTTTTTTGCATTAACACAAATCCTAATCCCTATAAGGAAGCATCATTGTAGGAGCACAATCAGTGGCGGATCCAGCCTCATTTTTCAGGGTGGGCAAAATTATAGTTAATTAAATTAATAATAATAATAACTTTTTTTTTTTTTGAGGGTGGGCATTTGCCCACCCTGAGATGAGCATGGGTGCGCCCATGAGCACAATACTTTTCATCAAGTCCATAAATATTGATAGAGAGTTTGTCTTAAAAATGCTAGAAAGTTTGTCAGCCCATACAACTTCACAAGAAATTTGTAGTGGTCACTGCTCATTTGAAAAGATATTTCAACACATTATGTTACTTAATTTTGAGTTGGTGGTATCCTATTCATAGATTAATCTTCAAGATAACTATCACACCTTATAACTAATTGAAGTTGCATTTAATCATGATATTGGATGCATATTCTTAATAGTCATCTTATTCATGTGATAACATAACACCATTTCATATTATTAGAATTTGACTTGCTAATGTAGATAGATATTTGTTATTTATATTTTAAACTTTATAAATTATTAATCAATTTTTAAACTTTAAAAATATTAATAGATTATCCACTATTTTCTTAAATTATTTAAGAGGTTTTTGGTTGGTCATTTTTTTTAATGATATAGAGCATTATGCTCTTATATTATGTTACATTAGATGTACGACTATTAAAAAAAATGAAGCCTTCAAAATATGATGTTAATAAGTATCATAATAGAGAGTTATTAGGTTGTTTGGTCATTATCTTTTTATGAAACATTTCACAATCTTAAAAGTTATTTAATTTCAATTTATACTCATATCATAAGGAACTTATTCTTTATAACACACCTAACATTATCTTTTATACAACTTAACACATTATAAGAAAGTATCTTAAAATGTCAAATTTTAAAAATTATGCATCATTATTGAGGTTTGCTTAGTTAGAGGTCTTGTAGTTTTAAAGGACACTTTCTTACATCCTTTTAATTGCTATGTGAGATAGTAGTAAGAGTCTTTATATATATAGTGTTGAGACAAAGCAAGCTTCTCTTAATAGATATTAATTGGGATAATGGTTAGTAACATAAGAAGAGCCAAAAATTTCAAAAGATTTATTATATAGTACTTATTAAGATGCTTTGTCTTATCCTTGAATATGTTTTTTTATTGTAGTTTGGTTTCAATTCAAATGGCTTTCAACTAAGGCTTCATTTGTGACGACTTTCTTTCTGCTTCTCAAAGCAGCTTTTCATTACAAAAATTAATTTTTGTTAAAAAAAGTTTATTTAGGCTTTGTTTGGGACGGCTTTTTTATCGCTTTTTAAAACGGAGTTTTAGTTAAAAATAAAAAATTTTGTACTAAAACTCCGTTTTAGAAAGCAGTAAAAAAGCCGTCCCAAACAAAGCCTTAAAATGCAATAAGAAAGTGCTTCCAAATGTACCTAAATCAAAATACATAAGAAGTGGAAAGAAATAGGCACTTAGAGTAAATTTGGTTGTCTATTTATTGAAGTGAAATGAATCTAAGCTAAGTAAATATAATATTGCTTAAGGCAATTTAGGGGAGTAGGAGAAAGTGCTAGGGTCAATAAATGGATCTTTAGATGGAGTTAGTGAATCTTAGGCTTTATTTGGGACAATTTTTTTTACTGCTTCTTAAAGCCGCTTTCTATTATAAAATTTTAATTTTTAAACTAGAAAGCCGTTTTAAGAAGCAATAAAAAAAATTGTCCCAAACGAAGCCTTAATAACCATGAATTTGTGATAAGTATTATAGTTTTTGGTAGTTAATAAATGTGCCTTGGAGTCATTTTTCAATAGTATAAATACTCTTCAATGAGCATATTAGAGCATCAAATGAATAATGTACTAAATAATAAGTAGATATAAATAAGAAAAAAATATTGAAAATTTAGGCCACAATAGATTTCAAATTCATTGAATTTATTGTGAGATAAATATAACATAAAAATGAATTAATTTAATGAATAATGAACTTATTTTAAAATAAATTCAATGATTATAAATTCATAAAATAAAATGAAAAATGAAGGCATAACTCAAACCTACAGAACCTCTCATCTTAGCATTCTTATTAAATTCTAGTAGAATTCCTAAGCCACCTTACAATAACACATTTCACATGGAATCAAATGATTTTCCATATACAACAGAAAGCCATATATTCATTTATTCTCAGTGAAGGATGTGAACCATCATCTGTTTGCAACTCAAAAAGGATATTCTATTCTATATGCGCTGAAATGATGAGAATTCTAATACAGCATAAACCCTAATGCCAGATTATACATAATTACAACTAATTACACCTATCTGTTGAAGTCATTCCAAACTAATATTTGAAGGAAGGAACATACCGAGTTCTCTCTCTTCAATCAGCAATTCCTGATTTGCAACTAGCTTCACAACAGAACAATCTGGGAGCTTATGTCTCTGTCTCAACTCACTGAGACTCTTGCAAAGCACTTCTGCAATCCAAACACCCAAATCGCTTTTACTTCTCATGAACAATGTGGCTGCAAGAATCTGCTCCATGACCTTTTCATCAATCTCAAGCATATTATTTGATCCAAAGTTGCTGCAGAAGCCCCTACTGATTTCCTTCAGTACATAAGCAACAAGGGAATCGAAATCAAAGGGCTTGAAGCAAACCGTTTTATCCATCAGATTAAGAAATTCCTCTAACCAGCCTTGAGAATTATCTGATATAGAAGTGTTATCGCTGCTACTATTGCAGTCTCCATTTTGGTCCAGCTCCTCAGCAGAAAGATTCAAGTCCAGATCAATGGCTGAACTTCTATGTGGCCTTTTTATTGATGTAGAGTATTCATCCTGGCATTGGTGCTTACCGGAAAAATCCAGCTTTCTTTTGCTTATAAATACTGTGCATGGAGGTACAGGATTGTTCTTGGATTCTTGTCTTGATATAACTGATACTTTGGAATTTGGGATGCAGTGGAAAAACTCATGATCTAAGAGGGGCTCGACCAAAATCTTCATTTTCCATCGCTCAGATGATAAAATCCTTTCCTCAGAAAAGCTGATATTCTCTTTAATGGGGGAGTGAGCCTTCCCGGGAAGATCTTTTGCAGTAGTTATAAAAAAGGAGTTATTGATGCCAACTTCTCTCCCATGAGAATCAGAAAACTTACCAGTACGAATGGCATTGGATAAGCTGTTCTGGGCTAGCAAGTCAGTTTTGTCCACGTTTTCAAGGAGGAAAACAGACAATGGCTTCTTGCTTATCTCCATAGCAATGCGATCAATAATCGTCTTCCCCCTGAAACTATCGTTGCAGTTCTTTAAACCTTTTTGATCAATAACACTGCCATGGCAGAAACTATCATCATCATAAGCAAGATCAATGCAGATCAGATCTTCTTTGCAGCCGAATATCAACTCAGCAAGAGCCAGGGCTGCCATTTTTTTTCCAGCCCTATCAGGGCCAAGAAAACTCAGCCAGATGGCACCTCTCATGCTCGGGCCATGATGCTTTTCATTTCTAGTTTTGCACTGAATAATGGCTTCACTAATCTCCCACAATGCTTCTTCTTGCCTACCAACTTTAGCTACTAGGCTTGTATAGAATGCCTTATAATTGCTTGCATCAAACTTTTGAAATATATAAGAACCTTTGGCAGGGGTATTGTGAAAAGAAGGGGGAGAAGAAGCATGAAAATGAACTCTTGAAAGACATTGAGTAGGCTCATTAATCTTTCTCGGTGTGGAACACTGAGATGAACCCTCTGGAGCTAATCTTCCTTCCAGAGAGAAATAGTTGTTAGCAGCACCTAAAGCCAATTCTGTTGTCACACAGGTTACAGAAGATGGAGAAGTATGGCCATCCTGAATGCCCAAATCTGACTGAGCAGTTTGATGAGATTGGAAACCTCCAGCCAAAACTGGTTCAACTTTTGAAAGCTTGTCATGAAGATTAGGTGTCAAATCTATGTGTGAAGGTTTTACAACAAAAGGAACTGAGATGCTTTGGCTGTTGGAAGTGGTGGTTTTTGCCACACCACTCACTGACATAGAGATTGCATTTCCAAAGTTGTTTTGGCTTTTAGGTATTATGGGGTTTGTGACACTCTTACTGAAATTTGCTGTATCAGAAATATATGGAATACCAGCCAAGTGAGGAATCACCTGGTAGTTTTTTGCCTCCACTATATGGGAATGTCGATGGACATTCTGGCAGTATTCATTCCACTTCTTTTGCAAGTCAATAATTTTAGCATTTGAAACAAATTTGTCATCTTTAACCTGTAAAGGGTTAAAGTAGATCGACTTAAAGCAAATCGGAAAATAAAGTTGGAAATTGAATATGAACTAAATCCATTGAGAATTTGCAAATAATTATCACAATGGCCTATCAAAAGTTAATATCTGGGTAAGTTGTATGAACAACAGAAATAGATAAAAATGAGTTCTCAAAAGCTTCCACCAAAATTTAGAACAGGAAAAATATTTAACAGAAGCCGCACCTTAGGGAGATCAAATCCTTCTTTGATGCCAACTGCATCAGCTTTTTGCAGCCAAGAAGGTAAGACAGCTTTTTCTGGGTCTTCAAGTGAAGTGTCGTTTCCCTTTAAAAAAACTGTAGCCTCTTTCTCGTACTGCTCGTTACAGATCTGGCAACGAGGTATTGACTGAGATGGATTATTTAATTTTCCGTTTGATTCAAAAGCTTGCGGAAATAAACCGCCAAATGGGACAAATGAGTTCATCAAGCTGCACACATAATGAACCAAAACTCTTATAACACCGGATATCGAGAAACATATTATTTAATGCAATGCACATTATGATTCAGGTTTGCAATAACCAACAAAATATTGTGAACAATGTGTTGCTTCTAGAAACATAATAAGGATCATCATTAAGGAGAGAACTTCCTCAAATATCTGTTAAAGATATATGAATACTTAGCAACCATCAAAACTCAGGGTCAGGGTTTAAACAACCATCAACTTGCTAAGCTATAAAGAAATGCTGGAAAACTGTGATACTTATGAAGGTGTAAACCATCAATCCCGACTATTCACATCCAATTAGGAAATAAAGTTTCTATATTTCTTTCGGAATACAAAGCAGTTCAATCAGTCCAATCTACAAGTATTTCTTTTTTGATTTTGTTTCTTCAGCAGCAGTTGTCAAGGAAAACTAGGGTTTTTTCCCCTGAAAGGTAAGATGGCAGACATGAAAGAATTCATAATACAAAGAAAATATCATAAGAGTCCATTTGGTTGCTTAAATATAGCAAACATGTTCCAGAAAATAATGAAATTTACTATCTCCATCATTTAGTTGGATGTGATTAAAAATTAATATTAATTTGACTTCATAAATACCTCACATCCCCACAAACACAATAAATTTATTTTTCACATAAAATAAAGAAAACAAAGTCATCGTTCATGATTCATGCTTTACTTTGTAAAAAGAGTAATAATTATCCAGTGTACCAAGATTTATTTGATGAATATCAAATTCTCAATTCATTAGAGAGAGAATTTTTCTAGCCTTCGCATGTTGGATAAAGGCTTGATGTAGCTTAACCAACATAGTGGGATAAAAGCTTAACGTTGTTGTTGCTGTTGTTAGCATATTTGATAGAATCTGAAAGTATACAATTCAGCCCAATGAATTCCAATCAGCATCTTTAGGATTCAAAGTCCGTCAAAATTGAATTGTTACAGGGTTTCATCTAAATGCATTTTAGTTATTCAATCGATGTATATGTGTTTCTACTTGTTGTCCTTGTGTGATGGGAGATAACTACGTGAACTACCAACATATTCTATCTAGTCAAACTGAGCTAGGCATCTTGAGATTAACAAGGTTTAAGCCACATCTTGAAACCAAGCAACCCTCTTGTGTTTGTGTCACAACATATCTCTCAAACAGTTAATGGTCCTTTACACCCAACATGAGAACAACAAAATGTTGCAAATTCAAAAATGAAGGTGTCCATAATAATTAAATGACATTTAAAGAACTACTATCATAACTGACAGTTACAAATCTCGTCCTTAAAAATTTTAAAGATGTTGGGGAAGTAAAGACACATAGTGAGACAAACAAGAAATAAAAAATTGCAGTGGAAAGAAAGAACGTCATGATTTAACGTGGAAAAATTCGAAACCGGAAAAAATCACGGAGCCACACCACACCAAGGAATTCACTATGAAAATTGGGAAAAAATATATAGATCCCTTTTCACTTTCTCTCCTCGTCTCTGTTCACTCTTATACCGTTCTCATACTAGAAATAACAAAGAGAAAACACATTAAAATCACAAAGGGATGCAAACCTTCAAGAAAAATGAGAAAGAAAATTACCCAGCCTGTCTCGCAACATCGCGGCGCCAAGTTTGGAGCATCGCTCCACTCTCAGGCTTTAGTTTGTCTAACAAAGCCGTAGCGTTGGGGTCTAGAGCATTGCAACGCTTCACTCTCTGTCTTGGTTGAGTAGTAGCTCCGCGAAGTCGGGATTTGAAGAGTTGCGATACTCCATTTTTTGTTTGCCTCCATTAAGACAATACAACGTCATAGTGTTGTGCGGTTGTACGGGGAAAAAAAATTAGGTGCAAAGCACCAGAAACCCAAGCAGGGGTAGGACCCCCTACAACCCCCAATGAGCTCGACTGATGGAATCGAGAGTCTGGGGCAACAATACAACTCAATTGATAAATACAATCAGATTCCACACAAATCTAACAAAAGAAGTGTCATAAAAAATCTACAACAAAAGAAAGGATCATGAAGGTTTTTGTGACTTGGTTGTGGTAGCTTAGGAGTTTTTACTTGTATGGACCTGGCTGCTACAGTGGATCATCAGCAAGGAAAGCCATCTTGGTGTCCATGATGAAGGTCGGCTTGGTGTCAAAGAGGATAATCAGGGTAACATTATTGATGAAGGCCTAATTGTCATTTGTGAGGGAGGTTGGTGGAAAATTATTGATAAGAAGGGTTGGGCAATGCAGGTATGATGGCAAAAGTTAATGGAGTGATGCATACAAAATAAACAATAGTTGGTCAAGTGATACAGATCGAGGTTGGAGTTCAAATGTGTAAAAGTCGATCGATAATTAGATGCTAGATGAGCAGAAACTTATCGGGCATCAAATCGGGTGTAGAGAAATTTTTCCCTCTAATTTGTGATTTCTCCCAAAGTAATAAACTTGTGGCCAAGGCATTTTCCCCCTCTAATTTAAATGCTAATCAACTCCATACAAAAAAGGAAGCCACATTTCAATATAACAACAATTCAAATTGTTAGTTTGTGTGGGATCTAATTGTGTTGATCAATCGGGTTATACTGTTGCTACAGACTTCAACTCAATTTATCATGCTCGTTGGGGGTGTGGGAGGTCCTCCCCAAATTTTTTCGCAATACGACCCAATGTTGTGTACCAGAGCAACCCGACGTTGTGTACCCGCGTGCCCTGATACTGCATAGTTTGCTTGGAGAAAAGACAGTGAAAAGAGCTCTGCAATGCTCAAGATTTGGCATTTCAGCGCTGTTAAGCAGATTGGAGACAGAGCATTGAGCTCCGTGGCACTCCAAACTAGTACTGCAACGCTCCGAGGCTGGCTGGACATTTTTTCTTTCTCGTTTTTCTTCAGGGTGTCGTCCCTTGGTGGTAAGTATTGTATCTCTTTGTTTGTTCTTATGTAAGAATGATGTAAGAAAGAAGAGTAGCAAGGAGAGAAAGAGAGAGAAAAGAGATATATACAAATTTCTCCCGATTTTCATAGTGTATTTCTTATTGTGGTGCTATGATTTTTTCCCGGTTTCGGGTTTTTTCACATTAAATCCTGATGTTCTTTACTTTCCGCTGCATTTCTATATTTTTTTGTTTGTTTTATTACGTGGTTTACTTCCATCCGTTACACAAATTATCATGATTAAATATTCTATTATGTTATTTATGTGCCAATTGATCTTCGAGCACTTTAAGATACACAACTAAATTAAAAGAAGAATGTAAGCTAAACGGTGAACATCATCTACATCCGGATGAAAAGTGCATGCGTATAGTATTGATACGAATATGGAAGTTTAGGTTCATTTTCTTAAAAAATTAGTGAATTGTACAAAAAATATAACCCACCAAAGAAAAAAACTAAAAAAATCATTTGGTAATATAGAAAATATGGTCACTTGAACATATATTATAAGGAAATTTGAATTAGAGCTATTTTCTTTTAAACTTTTGTGATGCATATGCATTAACGGTTTTTATTTTATTTTATTTATTTATTTATTTTTTTGTGATGCATTAACGTGACTTCAAAAATAGAAGCACAATTCTATGCTCCATAAAGAAAATGAAAGGATATTTCCCAAGATAGTAAATGAAATTTGTGGAAGTTTATGTTAACCTAAATCTATTAAACCATTACGGCTTCTGAATTTAATTATGCAGTCTTCTCGATCGCTCACACGAATCATATTCACATTATTCTTACCTAAACTTCTTAAAAGGTTAGCGATACGATCTATGTATAGCTCCTTTAAAAATCCACATGACTTGAGATATATCATCAGTTCCACCTCAGATATATGAGCTAATTGAGATATAGCAACAGTTCCATCTCAGAGATATGAGCCTATGTAAAGCAACTTTTAGGCTTTGTTTGGGACGGCTTTCTTTTTGCTTCTTAAAATAACTTTTTAGTATAAAAATTAAAAATTTTATACTAAAAAGTCGCTTTAAGAAGCAGTAAAAAAGCCGTCCCAAACGAAGCCTTAGTCTTTTTTTTTTTTTTCATTTTTTGAAAATATATGAGAGCAGCTTGCATATTTCCAGTTACCATAGATGTGTGTTAGGCCAAGTAATAATTCAAATATCATATTGATGGGGACTCCAGCCCAAAAATAGCACTGAACATGAGGTAACTGCAATATGACCTCATTAAACAGATCAAACGTCAAAAACAAGACATAGTTTGATTGGTGGCAAAAGAGGTGCAAGAAAATAGAAATGTTGAAAAATAACTTTCTTTTGATGCAAGTTTCAGCCTGTACTCTACAAAACCCATCTTTTAATCAACCCCTCAATAAAATCCACTAAATGTGGCCAAATTTGCTAATCACTTCTGAAGTTTGAAATGAAAGATGTCATTTTTTCTCCTACAAGCCATATCCTTTCGTTGAGGTGACGTGAATAACCTTTTTGTTTTCACGACAAAATTTCCACTACAAACCAAACAACCTTAATGTTTTACATTGTGCATTTTATATTTTCCTTCATCAACAATAGGTAATCAATCAATCATTTTATATTTCCAAAAAAGCTAGAACAGACAGAATAAGCAAGCAACTTCGCCAAAACAATCTGCAAATAGCTTTTGCAAGGTAAAACAGGAGCATTTAGCACAGCTGCACAGTTAAATGTGGAACCCACGTAAAAGAAGACTATGTAGCATTGAATAGCAGAACTATAACTCTAAATCTATTCAAAAAGTAGAATTTACAAAACAAAGTCTTTTAAAATCTTAAAAACCTTTCTCTATAGATTCATAAAGCTGTACAATCTTGGCAATCAAAATCCAACAAGCTAACTCTTAAGCTCTCTGAAAGTGAAACAACAAACATTTTGGCTAGGAATGAACAGAGCAAACTTCATAGATGAACAAAGCAAACTCAAATACTGAAACCTGAAACATCCAAACATTACAATTGAAAAAAATCAAAATTTACCAAATCATTTAGTCCCCGCTGCGCATATTTTTATTCTTTAAAAGGTCACCGCAGATCAAAGAAAGCAAGAAGCAAAATCGGTGAAAATGCTTGTCAATAAACTAACCTTGGAGGTTTTGGCTGCAATCCGCCCATTCCAGTTCTGTGAGAAGTGATGGGCAGCAACTCCAAGTTCCAGACCTTATCAACCAGCGGATAACGGGACAAGAACTTCAAGTAGGTCTCGTAAGTCGCCGACCACACCATCACCCACAAACTCGCCCGGCGCAACTCCAGAACCTTCGTCAGCTCCGAAACCAAACAATTTGTGGCATCCTCAGTCCCCTCCACCAAACCGTTCAAATCCCCAACGCTGACAACAACCCCAGGCTCATCGGTTTCTTTTCCCAACTCCTCCATCCTCGCACAAATCACCTCCTTATCCCCGCTGCTAAGCTCCCTCTCAACGCTCAGAAGCCTAACACCGCGAATCTCCAGAGGCAGCGCCGCCCAATTCTGCCGCTCAACTGTTCGAACAAAGTCCCCTGCCGCCTCAGCCGCGCCAACGCCGACTAGCATCGGATTTCGGGCGGCGCCGTTCTTTCTTACAATGACCTCAGCGATTCGCCGACAGTTCTCGTCGCCAGCGTCGGCGGCGAGGTGTGGCGGCAAGTGAAATCCGAACCCTTCGCTAGCAGAGAAATTGCAGAGGAAGAGCGGAGGGCATCGGGCAGGGCGGGGGAATCGAAGAATCGGTGGCGGCGGGCGCAGGATAGCAAGCTTTATATCGCAGCTCCGAAATCCCGCCTCGCCGAACACCCGGCTCACAATCGGGTCATCGAGGATTGCGAGAACCAGCTGCTGCAGCTCGACCCTGACACCGGCAAACGCTTGCGACGTGTTCCCCGCAGCCGACTGCTGTTGTTGGTACAAATGAAACGTATCCGGATGGCGCCGCTGGTTTGCCTGCGAGCGCTTGATGGCCGCCATGAGCGAGTTGGAGACCGGGGGCTCATCACCCTCGGAGACCGAAGAGGAGGACAGACGATCAAGAGCGACGCTGAAGCAGAGATCGAGAGCTTTGAACTGGAGGCGTGGCGAGTACGCTGAGCTGCGAGCACGAGTAAGAGCGTCGCGGAGGAGCGAAGGGGAAGGGGAAGAGGAGGTGGAGGAAAGGAGGCCAAAGACGACGTGGAGGGAGGTCGTTTGAGCGTGGGATCTGCGATGAGCCGCTGCGACGGCGGCGTCCAGGGCGGAAGCAGAATCGCTGGCGAGGCACTGGCGCGCGGCACTAACCGGTGTCGGCATAGCGAGACACCATGAACCGAGGAATTTAAGCTGGTGAAAAAATATAGTAAGAATATAATATTGGGAAATCGGGGTGATAGGAATGGAAAGATCGCCGGCGGCAGGGGAGGAGGCGGTGTCGGAATATAAAAATCGAGAGGGAAAGAAGGGCATATGATAGATTATATTTAGTTGGGGGTGAAAGGGCGGTGGGGCCAGGAGAGGAGGTGGGGGACGCTGCTGAGGAGAAGAGGAGTCCCTGTCGGCGGGGCCAAGGAAGCCACTTGTTGTTGGTGGTGGTGGTGGAGGGAGATGGTGGGGGAAGGGGGGTCTGGTGTGCCGCGGTGGAGGAGAAGTAGAGGCTTTTCAAACAAGTAAATTTCTTTAATATACTGGAACTTTTATTTGGTCCGGTCACCTGATGTAGCTCTATGTTCAGACGTCAGTAAAATAGTGTCACGTGTTCTTACTATTTACCACGCGGCCCGACAACCCCGACCCGGAACGGAGCCGAGATTGCTATGTTCGCGTATTGCTAGGTATTGCTCGGTATTTGATCGGCATTGGTCGATTTTGCTCGGCAATAAGGAGAAATACCATTATGTGAAGACCAATACCGAGCAATGCCGAGATTTTCTCAATATTGCTCGGTATTACTCGGTATTGCTCGGTATTGGTCTTCACAGAGCAATATTTTTCATTATTGCCAAGCAATACCTAGCAACACCGAGCAATACCTAGAGTAATACACGAACATAGCAATCCCAGGTTAAGTCGCCGGGCCGCGCGGTAAAAAGTAATAGCACGTGACGACATGTTATTGAAGTTCGAACGTAGAGCTACGTCAGATCACATGACCTAATAATTGTTCAATTTACTGAGAGTTGGTAACTTGATATATATGAGTTTAGATTTTAGTGAGCTGAAATTGCTCTCTATTCTATTTGAATTTAATTCATTTAATTTGCGGGTCTAAATAGTTCACTCAAATTTAAATTTTTTTGAACTTATCGAGGCCCATCCTGTTTAACCCGTTAATCATACAAGTCATTTTGATCGACACGACTTAATTCTGACCTAAAATAAAATTTCGTCAATATTTAGACACGAATCATATATAAAAATTAATCAATTCAATCAGCAACTCAAATTTTCAAATCAGGTGTGTATCAGACTTCTTATCCGACCATTAATAAATGAATTACAACAACAATAATATCATGTCTTTATCTTACTATGTTGGGTTAGTTATGATAAGTTAGTAAATTATTTTTATGATTGGGCATGAATTTCGATATAATTTTGAATTTGGAAACTTTTGAAATTAATATGGGACCATTCGAATTCTGATTTTAATAAACTTATCGTCAAACTGAATGTCTCTAAAAGATGAACTCAATGATATCAAATTTGACCCAATCTAAGCCCAAATGGGTCTGAATCAAAGACCTGAAGCTCATTTAGAAGGTTCAAACAAAAAATTGGATGATCACATGATCTCCAAATTTGTCATGTTTATAGTTGAATAGAGCGGCTTGACGAGACGAATCTAACGAGCCCAAGATTGTTGAATTCTAACATCATTAAGGTATTTAAATACTCAATAAACGGTTCATAATCAAAGGAGTCGATATCGGCCGTCTATTTGAAGCACTCTCAACATTCCCTTAATATTCTCCCTATTTACTGGCCACGCACTCCTAGAAAACTAAAATTAGACTCCTTATTCTTCATTGACGGGGGATGAAGGAAATAAGGAAGAGAGAGAGAGAGAGAGAGAGAGAGAGAGAGAGAGAGAGAGAGAGAGAGAGAGAGAGAGATCTGAGATCTCTACTGTCACCAAGCTCCTCCTCAACCACCACCCAATCACCAACTTTCGTCGGACTGATGTCCAACCATTGATTGTCACTAGACTTTTGTTCGGCCACCAACCTTCATTATACTTTCGCCCGACCACTAGCCATCTCAACTATTTGCCTAGACACGAACATCACCTCCCAACTACAGTTCTTCCGACCATAGTTACCCGACTACGGTCTTTCCAACCTCCGTCGCCCACTGAATACGGTCTCTCCGACCTCATTCTCCATGGTATGGTCTCCATGATCATCGTTGCCCGAATACATTCCTTCTGATCGCAGTCGCCCGACTACGGTCCTTTAGACAACATTCACTTGAATACGGTCTTTCCGACCTCTATTGTCTGTCGACTATGAACCTTCTGACCATTATCGTCGACTATGGTCTTTCGGACCTCCGTCACTTGACAACTATGGTCCTTCATACCACAGTCGCATGACTAGAGTCTCTCTGACCAGCATTCCTCGACTATGTGTTTTCGACCTTCGTTGCCTGCCGACTAGGTCCTTCTAACCGATATCACCGACTACGGTCTTTCCAACTTCTATCGCCCAACTTTAGTCTTCTAACCTCCGACGCCCGACTACGATCTTTTGAACATACATTACGCGTCGATTATGGTCCTGCCAACTAAATGAACATGTTAACACTGATTCTTCCCAATTCCATTATATAATGCATATTTGCTACATCGAGCCAATGTCATCCCCCCAAGATAGGGCATCATTTGTAATCAACTACAAACACTAGTTTATTCATTTAAACCGGGCAAGACCTCGTGATTTTCCCCCCTTTTCAAGAGGTTTCACGTTAAAACCCGATGTCTTTTATGAATGCTACACTCTTACTCTTTTATCTGTTTGTGTGCTGGATCTTTGTATAAATTTAAGATTCTAAAATATATCTCTCTCAATTGTGACGAATATTTCAAGACACAACAAGCTATATGAATCTTTTTTCTCTAATGTATCCTCTTGAGAATTAAATTCTTATTAACAAATGAACTATAAAATAAAAATAAATGAATCACAATTTATGACCCAAAGAATTTTTTTTTCAAAATACTCGAGTCAAACTAATAACAAAAATTTGATTTCAAAATAAAATTCAAAATTGACTCACAAAGTTGAGATTTCCAACGCAAACTTGAGTTCTAAATTTTTTAATTTATTTTGTAACAGCACTATATTTACTATTTAACATTTAAATATTATGTTCATATAATTTCATTTTATTATTTTATTTAAATCAAACATGTAAATGAGACTTTTTTTATTAATTTATGAAAAATCGTAAATATATTAATTTTAAAAGCATTATATGCAGGAAAGAATCCTAAAGATTAAACTCATCTGATAAGTACAATTTGATAAGGTCGGGCATAACTTAAATTTCGGGCATAAAATCTTATCAAATATCAATTATTGACAAAGGTCCGATTTGACAATTTTGTCCTTTGATATGTTATAAAGTAATGTGTGTGATTATTAGATTAAAATGTTTATAATTTTTTTTTAAATTTAAGATGTCATGATTAGGGCTATCAAAAGTCAGATCTGGATTGAGCCTAACCTAAATATGAGTCTGATCAAGTATCTTTTGGACTAAATCGGGTTGTGGTCGATCCGATGGCTCATATTGAGTCGGATATCGTAACGCTGGAAAGTGTGTGAACGCCTATAATAAAGAGAAAATAAAAATATTATTTAAATACTTAGTAGAAATTGATAAGTAAATTACAATCTTGAGAACGTGAGGAAGAAATTGATTCAAAACTTTATTTTAAAATAGTATTCATTCACATACACAAATAATCCACTTTTGTTTTAGGGCAAAGTCTAAATACTTTAATACTAATTTAGCTTACATTAACGATTGAGTTAAGAGAAATAAGGTCAAGCCAGTTCTCCATGATGGGGCGAGGGCCACGATGCTACTTGTGTGGCATCGTGGATAGATTAAGAGCGTGAAGATATAGATTGTCACTACTGTTGTAGTGATAATCTAAGCTCCTTGGCATTGCACGCATCTATGAGAATTTGGCAGGTGAATTATGATTTGATGATGAAGATTAGGGAATGTGGACTAAGGTGTTAGTTTGAGAGATCTTTGCATCTTAAAAAATTCACAATGATAAACAGAGTTTTACACGAAGTTTAAACAATGAATGACCTAGATTGAATCCTTTAAAGTTATAATTTGTTGAAGTTATAGATATTATATAGATTTTTTTTGTATTAACAGAATTGAATATTTCACATTGCATTTTAATTGTGGCATTTGCATAAGCAAGAAAGATTGTTTGTTAACCCTATAAAATATATTAGCTATTAATATATAATATGACGGGCTTTTCTTTAAAGATTGTTTGTGGTGTTATTCCAGTTGTAACTTATAACAGATGATCGAATTATGCTAACAGACATAGGGTGATGATTCTTAATGATTATTGAAAGACACATGCACTAATAATAATAATAATAAATGATGAAAGATAATAATATAAATAAGGAATAAATACAAGGATGAAAATATCACATTAAAGCTGGATGTTCTACCTTATTGGGTCATATACTAATGCATGCATATACCGATAATATTGATAAATAGAGTAGTAATATGTGTATATAGATAACATATGATGATATGAATGGATACAATTATTGATTGCATATAATTGATAGGATAGATGTAAGAGGATAAGACTGGTAATATTGACACATATGTGTCTGTGGTTTTTTTTACTGATGCTTGAATGATTATAATACCATTGTTTTACTGATTTATTGATTTCTATGTATGTTATTTATTTCTAGATTCATTGTAATGATTTTCTAACTTTTATTAATATTGATTATTTTGAGCTTTACAAATGATAACTAATCATTAAAGAGATTGATCTTATTGAATGAACTGAGTATGCATATTAATTTTTCTGACAATGTTGAAAGCTTTAGTGAGTTTGATTTACTGTTGGGCTTTTTCTCAAGCACCGTCGGACCACTGACCGTCACCAGACTTCTGCATGGCCATTGACCATCGTCAGACTTTCTCCCGGCCACTAGTCATCATCGGACCTCCGATCCGGACCACCAGTTAACCCCTACTCAAGAGGAAGATCAAAGCATTAATTGCTACGAGGATTACTAAACTTGGGTGATACTTACAACTATGTCTATGCAGGGTGGTTTGACATTCTTGGTAAAGAAACGATTGAGACCATGAGGGAGATACACAAATTATTCAAGATAACATCAAGCTTTCATGCGTTGGAGTATTGGATCCTACAAAAGAGAAATTACACACCTCCTATATTGGATTGTGGTAAGAGAACAGAGAAGGAGCTAAAGCCTACAAAGAAGCATTAAGAGACGCAAAATTTGCTATAAATTAACCAATGAAGGATAGTT